AATTTTGAAGTCGAAAAGCATCCTCATCAACTTGCTTTTATTATCCCATCGCACATTGGTACCAATATATAATTTCTTTTTTGCACACAAAAGGTTTCATGCTACTTCATTCACAATTTGTAGATCATAATGGTTTTCTTCTGTTTTTCATTCACGCAAAAGCAGAGATTCATGAACATAAATTTTCTTGACCACGTGAACGTGCGTTGTTTTCTAAGGAAATCACGTGAACGTGCATCGATTTCTAGGAAAGCATGTGATAAAACTGTGAAAATGGGCATCATTAGAAGAAAGCTGGGCTTATTTGTTTTCACAATAACACTTAATAATCGTTTTCTTTTCATTTTAATTTCTGACAGAAGCAGAGATTCATGGACATAAAGTTTTTTTATTCTTTTTGCTCAGACAGCTATAATAATTTTCTCTCTTCGCAAGATCCCAGTCCCGTTACTTTTAATACTCCGATGTTTACTACTAGACAATCGAGGCATGCATGTGAACGTGCATCGTTTCCTATGGAAAGCATGTGATGAAACTCTAGAAATGGGCGTCACTGGAAGACAGCTGGGTTATTTGTTTTCACATTGATACTTAATAATCATTTTTTTTCATTTTAATTTCTGGCAGAAGTAGAGCTTCATGGACATAAAGGTTTTTTTCTTTGCCATGTGAAGTTAGATGCCGAAGTTACCCGGACAGCTATATTAATTTTCTCTCTTCTCAAGATCCAAGTCGTGTTAATTTTAACACTCCGATATTTACTACTGAGCAATCGGGGCATCCATGTGAACGTGCATCCTTTTCCAAGGAAAGCACGTGAACGTGCATTGCTTTCTATGGAAAGCATGTGATCGGGCACTGTTCTCTAAGGAAAGCATGTGATGAAACTATTAAAATGGGCGTCATAAGAAAAAGACTGGGCTAATTTGTTCTTTAGCCCCCACTTGGAGAAATTTTTAATTGCATCTGCTGAGAAAAAGGAAACTTGAATTGTTACTTCCTAGACCACTTGGGCGGCTTAACTATTGCTTGCCAGTACCTAACATTTTTTAATTAAACAGGGTCGCCCGTAATTACTTTTTAAATGCATAAACTTACAAATCCCGTGCATAAGTTTCTAACCTCAAGTAAATTCTTAGTCTTTCTATATTAAAACTTACTATTGTAATGCAGAGGAAGTATACATTTTTTTTTATTTGGCTTCTAATCTTTGATACGTACTGTCTTACAAAGGAAGTATATATGCACTTATATCAATAATACAGTTGTCCTTGCTCGAATGCAGTTAGTGTTCCAAATGAAGATATAAGCTATTTGACTCGACATGAATTAGAACCAGAAAAAGGTAGGAAAGGTCCATGTCCATTTTCAAACCCATGTCTTTATATGGACAATTTATATGGACAAAAGACCCGTGTCCAATTTGCTGTCATAAATTTTATCATCGAGCATTAACCGATATCGTCGACTGAACACCCGAAATTGTGCAGCCATTGGGGCATTTTCTGTGAAAAAGTATTTAAATATTAAACAAGACATTTCATCTACTAATTTAAATTATTAAACAGTTGATGATGATTACATTAAATTTTATGTTTTATTAGAATAGGAGGTCATGAGTTCAAATTTTGCTAGCCCCTTATTTGCCTCCCCGTTATATATTTGCATGCTTTAGTATTAGGATTAAGTCTAACCTATATATTAAAGGGAGTGTTAGAGCATTTAAATATTAAGATTAAGTCCAACCACTTATACACCAAAAGGTTTGATTCTTTTATTGATAGGAGATCAGGTCGGATCTAGTGTTTGGGCTTCGCCCCTTTCAATACCAAAAATAAAAAATAAAAAATTAAACGAGGTTGCTGGGCATGAATTGATTGTGCTGGATGCATGTAGCGTAGCCTTTGTAAGTGACTGGGGGTTCTCATTTGTCAGCTAACGGAGAAACTTTCTTCTATAGGATCGTTACGGGACAGCAAAGTGACGTCAGCGAGTGGAGAAATTTTTGTTTTCTGCTGGCCTTTTGGAAAAAGGAAAAATGGAAAGGAGAAAAAGAAGACTCTTCAATAGGAAGGACAATGATATGGTCCACCACCTCAAGTGGATTTCAAGCTCTACGCTTTCACAAATGTCAACAAAGTACCTAAGGGTTTGATTTTGATAGGTTTTTACATTTTGCTTTTGTTTAATCTAATCTTATCTCAGATACATTTTTACTTTTTTTGGGCTTGAAACATACGAAATTTTTACAGTAAGTAAATATTGGTATGTAGTTTACATAGATTTTTATAGCTAACTTTGATGGTGATTACCTTCTTTTGTTCCATTTTATTATGTCTGATTTGTTTTGTGAAACCAAACTATATATATATATATATATATATATATATATATATATATATATATATATATATATATATATATATTCTGTTTGCTCTCTCTCTAATTTATGTCTTGAAAATGCGATGCGTAAAGCCAAAGCTGGCCAAGCTAACACTTGCTTCCCCAACAATTGATTCTCATCTCTTGCTCTCGTGTCAAGCAAAGTATATATGCAAGAACAAATGGAATGGAATTTCTTAAGCAATAGTGACTGGCGACATAACAATCCAGACTTAACATTTACTTTAATGTTTAATTAGGGGCATTAATGAATGATAAAAATTTTAAATTCCATGTGCGCGTATTTTGGTATCAAATGTTTAAAAAATAATTATTTACGATTACACAGATTTCAATTTTTCGTATAATTCCTATCACCGGTATCTTTTATATATAGAATTTTCTCTATTGTCAAATCATTCATATGAAGAGTGCCTAGTTTTACCAACCATGGATCTTCGGTTCAGAGAAAGAGGTGATGGTCAAATTTAAATTTTGTGATAATTTTTAAGGGTTAAAACCACGAAAAACCCAAAACCGGTACACCTGTGATAAATTTTATCCCAAACTAATTTTTTGACTGCCAAAAGCCCCAAATTGATAAACTGGTAACAATTTTACCCTTTATTTGTTTTCATTAAATTTTACTGTTAAATTGCTTTGAAATGACACGTAGCAGTTGACTGATGTGCCAGTTTTATATTTTACCCTTCGTTTATTATAGGTGTATCGGTTTGTTATTTTTTGTGGTATTAATCCAATTTAACAGAAATTAATGGAGGGTAAATTCGTCAGAAATGTATAAGTTTAGGATTTTTAGTGGTCAAAATATTGTTTGAAGTAAAATTGTCATATGTGTACAAGTTTAGGGTTTTTCATGGTATTAACCCAACTTTTTAATATGCATTGGTTTCTTTACTTGAAATTTTGAAAAAAACAAATTAAAGTACGAGTTTCGACACTATGGAACGATTTAACACTAAAAGAAATAGGCAGCTGAATTTTATCGACGCGGTTCTTTTATATGAGAAGGCAAGTCGTCATTCGTTTCTATTTTCGGTTATTTTGCTTGCCAATTGATTATTTTTTGGTATGTTTTGTTTAGAACGAGTACAACCATGGTTCTATCAACAGCAACATTGCACATTGCTTTTGAGATTTGCTAAAGGCAATATATATTTTGTGAAGAACAAGGATACTAATCGTGTTGTTAGTGACAACAAGCACATGATTCAAGCTTTATGCCAATAAGATTGAGAAAGAAGTTGGAGAAGATGACATGGCAATGCCTTACATAGATTCGACGTTTGTTGTTGAGTTGAGAACCTACACAGCACGATTGAAATGGATTAAGTTCCGACAGGTATTACATTATACAATTTTATTACAGTGATGATAATTTTTCAGATCACAAGTTGAAGAGTTATTGAAAAGAGATGTCATGTGCCAAAAATGTGGAGAAGGAGCTATAGTTATGAAGAAAGTAAATGGAGCCAAAGTGAAAACGATGCCCACTGAGCTCAAAGATAATAATAGGTATAGTCTAATTATCATGTACCTAAAATTTGTATAAATTTAAGCATCTTTTGCAAATTGTAATATTTTATTTTCTCGAAGGTCCGACCAGGTATGTCTCCCCTTATGGAATGACTTTCTAGATAAATATCGAAAGACCAAATATATGTGCCCATTGAAGCATGAGGTGGTCATTTTTACTTGGGGTGAGCAATGAATCGATTGATAAATTCCATGTGTGATCTGGCTAGAAACCAACCCGGTGAGGCTAGTTTCCAAGAAAAATATTTGGAAACCGGCCTTGACCTGTTAGGTTTCTCGTTCAGGGTAGAATAGGCTCAAAATCAACCCTAATATAATATTTAACATGATGTTCAAAATTATAGTCATATAATTTGCTAAAATTATAATCTCACAATGTTCAGCAAAATATTTAATACCATAATGAACAGTAGGGTATAGCCTTTGCCTGCCAATGGGCATCGAGACTAGCAGGAAAAGAAAGGCAACGTCTAATCTCATGAATTTACTAAATGCATTGACAAAATACGGAAAAAGAATATATAAGTAATACTCAATTGAATCGTAAAGCAAGAAAATAATTCTATAAAGAGTACCTAATTGTTAAGATCAATATATCTATATTTATAATATAGAAAAGGAAAACAAAGAAACTTTGATTAGATAATATTTCCATGGTTGTTAAAGAAAAAAGGATTTGGGGAGACCATCCAAGATATAGCTGTTTCCTGTTAAAATGAACATGATCGTTTGCGAGATTACTTGGGAGATCAAATACTTGCCGATGTTTTGGGTTGTAACTTGAACATTTCACTTTTAGCACTAAAATTGTTCCTACAAAAATATTATTATTGGATATAAAAGAACCATTCCATCGAACAAAAGAAAGTAATCAGATGTGACCCCATTTGCAAGAATGAAATGCAAAGAAATCCCTTTCTTGTGTTAACGGTAACTGAGGAGGCGAAGAAAGGGATCAATTCCCAAGTTTCCTTCTTGTGTCGACATAAGAAAGGAATGTTCCTCTTTTCTTTCTCTATATAATGTGCGACGAGGACAAATGCAGGCAGCACTCAAGAACCATTTCTTCACTGTTTCTAATCTTGTTGCTTGCATTTCATGCAGGCTTGCTGTTGTCGAATTTGATCCTTCGATACCACCCCCACTCCTAGTAATTTCGCTCCCAGTTATTTTCACCATGCGTGCATCGGTTTATTGTTTTATGAACTATAAGATTAGTTGTGACATTCCGAATTTCGACCCATTTTTGGGATTTATAAAACGTGTAATTCGTCAGTATGCTTATAGTAAAATCTCGCCCGGGAACTGATCACTCTCGGATATTGTTTTTAAAATTGAGATTTCGCTAGAATCGCACTCGATCGAATTTGGCCGTTATTTAGAGTCCAAACTTTGGTGTCGAATTTCTCAGAGTTTCGGGACAAATTTAATTGGACGGTGTCGATATTAATGTGGCCAGCCTCGAGATTGCCCGAAATTATTGAAAAGTGAAATTTGGACCGGGTGCGGATTTTGACCAGTATACCTCCCTATGGATTTATTTTATTTAATGTCTTTTTAGCCTTTTCTTTAATTTGAAATCTAGAATTTTCGTGGCCCTATGATCTTGACTTGCTCACCAAGATCTAATGTGAGCCCTTGGATGAGAGTGAGTGGGGTTGTTGACCTTTTTAAATTGATTTCTCTCTCTCTCTCTCTCTCTCTCTCTCACACGATCATCCCCTTCCCCCTGTTCTGCCGAGACCCCCCCTTCCTCTCCTTCTCCCTTGGCCGCGCGAGGAGCCCAGCCACGCCGGAGCAGCCCGCCGCCACTCATCTCAGCCACACACCGCCACTGAGCTCACTCTCTCCCTTCCCTTCCATTTGTCCATCCCATCACCACCACCCACGATCACCCTCACACCATCACCGACCACCTGAGCTGCCATCCATTGTCCGCCCTCGCCGTTGCTTCGCCGGAGTAGCCGTTGCCGTGCCGAGGCTCTCTATTGCACCCGTTGTTCGGTTTTCTTGCTTAGGCTAAGAGTAAGTGCCCCCTAAGCCTTAGTTAGGATAATGGATTACTAATGGACATGTTTAGGGGCGGATTACGGCCGTGGATAGTTGGTTTAGTGGCTGGTTGTGCTTGGTTTGCTTGGTGGTGCTTGTTGGTTGATTTCCGGTAAGGTTGCTGCTGCGTCGCTGGATTTTACTATTTTTACTGTGACTTGTGTGGACCGAATTTGAGGAAGTGTTCTTCATAAAAGTTGTTCATAACACCTTGAAGTATGACATAATTTAATTTTATAATTTTTGAAGATCATTTAATGCCATTCGTAAGTCCATTTTTGAACCGAATTCAGTCTGTCGGATTTACTGTTCACCCGACCTTCTGGTCTTTCCGATTTTCTATAAATTTTTCCAGACCTCTTTTCAACAAAATTTCTTCACAAAAATTGTTATAAACACTTGTTTCTATGACATATAAAAATTTCAAGGCTTTCCAAAGTGATTTGGGCACTGGATGAGATACATTTTGATGGTCAGGCGGCCTGACCGGACGGGTTGATTTTCGTCTAACTTCAAGTGACAAAAAGAGGTATTTACAGTTGGAACTGGGTTTCAAGTTCTTCACGGAAAATGTTTATCAAGATGTTTTATACAACATATCCAAAATTTACAATTTTTGGAGTTGAATTACTATTTATTTAAAAAGGGATTCCAGAACTGTGCGCTGGCCCAGAATTACTCCGAATCTGTATATTCGGTTTTCCCTTGTTCTTTGTGGCTGAATGTGGCTGTTTATGGCTGAGTGTGGTGGCTGATTTGTGGTGCAAACGTGGGCTACATTGTGGCGGTTCAAGGGTCGTTTTGTGTGATGATTTGTGATATCGATTGGTGCTCGAAGTGGGGCTTAAATGTGTGATAGTTCGTGTGTGAATTAATGTTCGATTAGTGGCAATTTGCATTGGTTGCTCGTTGTTGAAGTGAGTGTGTTTGAGTGGCGGTTTGACTTGTGATTTTTCCCCATGTGTGATTTTATGCCTAAATTGCGTTGGACGTGCTGTGTTGGGGGCTAGGTTCGATGGCCTATCGAGGCCTTTGTGCGCTCGATTTAGTATGGTGCATTTTGTGGAAATTGTGGTGGATTGGATGTAAGAACGGACTTGAGACGTGCTGACGGTGGTCTGTAGAATGAAAGTTGACGGACTTGGGACGTGTTGACGGCGGTCCGTGTGAAAGCATGAATGGCCGGTGTGCCAAATGGATGCGAGCTTGAGACGTGTTGACGGTGGCCTGTTAAAGGTGTGTTGGACCGGAATGTGTTTACGTCGGTCATTGGAATTGAGCCCGGATTGATCGGAGGGCTACGGACTTGGGACGTGTTGACGGCGGTCCGTGTGAAAGCATGAATGGCCGGTGTGCCAAATGGGCTTGAGGCGCAGTGGCGCGGGCTGTGAGAATGGACCTGAGGTGCAGTGGCGCGGGTCGTGAGATGGTTGGTTGGGCACGTGTGCGAAATGTGATTGGTTGGATTGGCTTGAAGTACGTGTGGATGTTTGGTTGGATTAGTTGGGTGCGAGTGTGGATGGCGCTTGAATGAGTGTGTTATATTATCGGGATATTATTTCATTGTCATGATTTGACTAACGTGTAGAGGTGATGTGTGGATTGAGGCGAGGTAAGTGCGTGGATGTGAATTTTGTACGTTACTTGTTAGATTGCAAGTAAGACTTGTCTGGGTACGCATTGGCCTAGGTAGGGTTTAGGGTGTTGCTTATTGAGACTCGTTCTCATAGTTATTATATAACCATTTCAGACCCCCGACTCCGACCATGAATGGTCCGTCACAGCGTTTTGGGATCCCGAGGAAGAGCCGTTAGAGCAAGATCCCGAAGAGGAGTCCATGGAGTTGGTGGACCCTTTTGTATAGCTAGGCTAACCTACCCGACCACTTGCCCTTTTTGATGATGGTGGTTTTAACCCTAATGGCCTTTGTATGTAAGGTTGGATTTTGTAAGTGCGTGCCGTTGAATGAAATATGTGGTTCATTTGTTCAAGTGTTCTACTACCCTTGGTCTTTAATCTTGTCTGGGTGCTTTTAATCGTTTCCGCTTGCGCTTTATGTTTTGATGTTCGCGTGGGTCGGCGACGAGTCCTGGGACGTCGCATTTTCAATACGACCACGGAGGGATGTTGCGGGCTCGGTGGGGTTCGGGGCGTGACATTAGTGATTTGTTTTCACCGGCATTTTCATTGCCTTTAATCACGAACCTCGGACTCGACTGCTGTGGGTCCTATATGCACATTGATTTAGGCCTCATCTTGTAATGTGCGTGGATGATGAGAATTCCCCTCAAGCTTGTCCATCTCCTGTGGCTGATTTCAAGCTCTATGCTTTCATAAGCATTGGCAAAACAGCTAAAGGCTTGTTTTTATTTTTTTGAATCCAATCTCATTTCAGACGCATGCTAACAATGTTTTTTGGTCCGAAACATATGAAATTTTCACATTAATTACACATAATCTTTTATAATTTTTTTAATACTTGAATTATATTTTAAATTTTAACAGAGAGAAAAAAAAATTATTTTTGCTTTTTTAAAAATTACAAACAAACAAGTCCGAAGAAATTTCAGCCAAGCCAACTCTTATCATCATGATTATTTTCTTTCATTATATTTTATTATGTGTCGTTTGTGAAACCAAACTAAGTATATGTAATACATACATATTTACATATAGGCACATACACACACATCAATCAATAATAAAAAAACTTCATTAAAATGGAGTTAAATGGTTGGCCCACATCATCACAAAGTTCCATCCCGTCCCACTTTCCTTAACATCAATTAGACATATTACTATAGAATAAAGTAGAGGAAGACTCAATCATCTAATTTAATCTAATATAATTTTTCTAGAACAATATATCAACATTAACTTGCCTTACTTATTGAATTAGATTATGTAAGTATACAATAATTATAGATAATATAAAATATTTAAAATGACAAACATTGATTGCAAAACTCCAATGTACATACATACTTTCCAACAAAGTGGGAAAGAACTTAATCATACCATTTAATCTTTTACATACAAGAACAACAACATCGACTTGCCTTACTTATTAAACTGGACGTGATCTTTTACATATCTAGCAAACTTGTCACTTTCGTCCCAGTTTAATTGTGGTCCTAACTTCCAAACTCAGCTCTCTCAATATCCACCAGATATGTAAAAGATTACATCCTACCTTAACGAGTGAATTGATGGGGTATTTATGGTAAGAGGATCAAAATAATTGCTTAACAGGATTATTTCATATGGATAGGCTGCTACTTGTCAAGGGAGACTCAAGCCAATTGTATACAGCCATGTGTCAAAAGGACATAGGCCAACACCAAGCCCAATAGAAAGGTGTAGGGAATAGGCAGGGCCATTCCTAATGAGTCTTGCTCTCAGCTTACTAAGTCCAAACTCTCCAAAATATATCAAACAAATAAAAATAACCTAGGATCATGCCACTTATCTCAAGTCATTCTTGCATGGAGCAATGCTCATTTGAAATAACCTGTAACAAGTTCCAGATAATGGCATTTGTTAGTAAATTTAGGTAATTGTATAAAAGAATGATATATTTATTAAATATGAAACCAACCCTACTTGAGAGTTCATCAAAATATGCGAAAAGGATTGTCATGCATGGAGAAAATGCATAAAAGGTAATGACTAAGACACATTCCTATTATTGGGGGGATGATAAGAATGTTACAATATAACAAAAGTAGATGCGCGACGTGCACAACACATTATTGTGAGAAGACTACTCATACTTTGTATAAAAAGAAACAATTATTATCATAATAATATAATAATTGGTGCATTTTTTTAGTGTAAAAAGAATTATAAAAGTTGCTGTAGTAAGTAAGAAAAGCTTGCCTATTTGTCATTAATAGAAAAAGCAAAAATAACTTTAGATTAAAAAATAGATGATCAGATAGGAAATTCAGCAAAGATTTGATTGTATATATTGAGTAGAGCTAAATTAGAAGAAGAATATGTTGGGGGATAGAAATAAGAGCCAGACTTAAAAGACAAGAGAGATGACTTGTCTTATAGTAGTTGTTAAAGAAAAGCTACAAATTTCAGTTATTTAAAGGATTTCAAACTAATCGATATGATTACAATAAAAAACTGAAATAGTAAAAGATTGTGTACAGATATAGGATTTTACTTTGCATAAATGTGCAAGTTTTGGAATTGTCTAATATGGGAAGAGCTTTAAGGCAGTTTTATTTATTTATTTGGATAATAGGAAAAAATAAAGGAAGGAAAAAAAATATAGAAGCATTGATAATAGGAAGCAAACGATTTTGTGAGATTAGCAAGGAGAGTGAACTTCCTTAATCAAACCGTAATGTTTTAGTAAAATAATAGCAATAATGTCACGTGACAATATGAATGAGAGTTTTGAATTGAGATGTGTAGTGTTGGCATCAGAATGTTAACAAATCTGTTATGTTACTTACACGTATAGAACTTTCTATATTCCTAGAAAGAATTCCTATCCTAATGTGTATTGCACATGTGTAACTATATATTCCCATATATATTGGTTGCTAATTAATCGTAGCTCACATCTCACGGTGCTTGAATATTAAAGCAAACTAACATTCCCTAAGTTTATAACGTAAGCTTAGTTACTAACTTTGTCATACATTAAATCCATCCCAAGAATATAAAAAATGATTGGTCATCTTTTGACAAAAAGGTAAAGAATGACGCCTTTAAAAAAACAACAGTTTTCTTGCAGGCATCGGATGCGACTTGAGTGGGTTTGCATTTTTGGTTGAGGCTTGCGTGGATGATCAGAATTCCTATCTATAATAAGCTAAAGTCGGTCATAGAGTTGATAATTAGATTTGTTAGGCTTTTGATTTGCTAGTCTCCGATGAGCATCAACATTAACTTGTTGTACATGTCGTGAGATGTCTCAAGCCTTGGACCTACTGCACTAATATCTTTTGATTCACAGAGAAACAAAGAGAACAAAAATGGCGGAAGCTGTCATCGTCGGTATTGCTGGAAAGATCGTTGCTTATCTAGGTCCTCAAGCACTAGAAAATGTTGGAAAGTTATGGGGCGTTAAGCAAGAACTTGAGGTGCTCAAGGACAGTGTCTCCACTCTTCAGGCAGTACTGGCCCATGCAGAAGAGCAATACCACCAGAGTCCCCAAATTAAATTTTGGGTTGATAAACTGAAAGAAGCTTTCTACGATGCACAAGACGTGCTTGAAGAATTTAATATAGAAGACATGCGACTAGAACTGAGGGGCCACAATGAAATGATGAAGGAGGTAAGGACATTTTTCTCAAGTTCAAACCAGCTTGCTTTTAAAATGAAGATGAGTTACAAACTAAGAGCAGTTAGGGTGAGAATCGACGCCATTAAGGCTGATAAGGGATTCCACTTGGATGAGCGCCCCGAGAGAGAGTGGAGGAAGAGAGAAGAGACGCATTCGTTTATACGTGAGGGAAATATTATAGGGAGAGATGAAGATAAGAAGGTGGTCATGGAATTTGTACTGGATTCAGACGTGCAAGAGAACGTTTCCATCCTTCCAATAGTTGGTATTGGGGGGCTTGGAAAAACAGCTCTTGCTCAATGTGTGTATAATGATAACATTATCAGTAAACATTTTAACTTGAAAATGTGGGTTTGTGTCTCTGATGACTTTGACATCAAAAAAATAGTGAAAAATATGATAGCTTGTGCAAAGACGAAAGAACCAACCGAGGTTGCGATGGAACGGTTGCAAAGTGAACTGAGGGGAGAGATTGATGGAAAGAGATACCTCTTAATTTTAGATGATGTGTGGAATGTAGAACGAGAAACATGGCTGAGCTTGAAAACTTTATTGTTGGGAGGTGCTGGAGGAAGCAAGATCCTCATAACTACACGCCTTACTTCGGTTGCGAAGATCACCGGCACTGCTTCGCCTCATCTTCTCAAGGGGTTAGATGAAAGTGCGTCTCTTGAATTACTCATGCAAATGGCTTGTTGTAAAGAAGAGGAGATACAAGATCCTGACATGCTAGCTATTGGTAAAGATATAGTTAAAGAGTGCTCCGGCGTTCCATTGGCAATTCGAACTATTGGGAGTTTACTCTTTAAGAAGAGTAAGCACGAATGGTTGCAATTCAAAGAAAAAGAGCTCCTAGATGTGTCCCAAAGGGAACACGGCATAATATCAATACTTAAGCTTAGTTATGACCATCTTCCTTCACATTTGAAACAATGTTTCGCGTTTTGTTCATTGTTTCCCAAAGATTATGAAATAAAGAAGCAGACTTTGGTCGATCTTTGGATGGCCGAAGGATTTATCCAGCCATCAAATAGAAGTCCGCATTTAGAAGACATTGCTCATGGCTATTTCATGGATCTACTTTGGAGCAACTTCTTCCAAGATTTTCAAAAAGACGAGGAGACTTGCAAGATGCATGATCGATGCATGATCTAGCACCTTTCTCGGTTGCCGGGACCGAGTGTTGGGTGGCATGGGATGACACAAAATCCATACACGAAAGAACTCGTCACGTATCATATGGTTCAACTTTCGATTTGATGGGTGAAATTCCAATCTCATGCTTGAAAGCAAGTGCATTGAGAACATTTCTGTCTACTAAGAGTCATTGGGAAATGGAACCAACGAGTGAAGTAGATCTACGCCAACTCATTCAAAGTTTCAAGAGGTTACGCGTCTTGGATTTGCATGAAAATAATGTTGAGAAGGTGCCAAGGTCCATTTGTAAGTTGAAATATCTCACATATCTCGACCTCTCTGGCAATTATAAACTGAAAAGGCTTCCTAAATCCATTACGAGATTGCAGAATTTGCAAACACTTAATCTTTGTGGTTGTAGGGCCCTTGAAGAATTGCCAAGGGATATAAGGAAGTTAGTCAGCCTTCGAAATCTAGACATAGATTATTGTGAGAAACTTAGTTATTTGCCACGCGGACTAGGGCAATTGAGTTCTCTACATAGGCTAACGCGCTTCATTTTGCCCCCAAAAAAAGCTCTTGCTAAGAATGGTTGTGAAATTGGGGAGCTAAAAGAGCTTAATAACATCCTGGGAAGCCTTTGCATTGAGAATTTGGGAAGTGTGACAGATGTCAAAGCAGAATCCAAGGCTGCGAACTTGATAGGGAAGCATTCTCTGGAATCTTTGGAACTTCAATGGGGCGATTCCGATATTGATGATTCAGTAATTGGGAATGGAGATGAAATGCTATTAGATGGACTGAGGCCACACTCAAATCTGCAGAAGTTGAGGATTAAAGGATATAAAGGTGAGAGCTTTCCAAGGTGGATGACGGATAGCCTTGTGTCTTCTTTGCCAAAATTAGTTGAGGTACACTTCGTCGATTGCGGAACATGTAAACATCTCCCTCCAGTGGGCCAACTACCTCACCTCAAGATTTTAGAGATTGGGTGGCTGAATGAATTGGAATACATCGAGTCGGACCATTCATCCACTTCAGCGGCATCATTTCCTAGTCTATTGGAATTGAAGATCGCTAGCTGTAAGAAATTGAAAGCCACGCCACCAGCTCCACATCTCGAGCGATTAAGGCTGTGTTGGTCCCACCCAGCGTTGATAAATATGATAGTTGGCCTTAATAAGTTGGAGAGCCTGGAAATTTGGGGGATGGAGTCTCTAGAATGTGTGCCCGAGGAGTGCTGGAAAAGTCTCACCTCACTCGAATCTCTTAATATCGGTATTTGTCCTCGGTTAACTTCCCTCTCAACACCAATACCACTGGGTACGTGGCATCAATCCAACCTGGTGGATCTCCATTCTTCGGATTCTGCGGAGCTTGATTTATCCAACTACGTCGAAAGCAGCGGCGGCAACAACCTCAGCCTCATCTTGGAACTTCACGGTCTCCGCTCCGTGACACTCCAACAACTTCCAAAACTAGCATCTCTCCCACTGTGGCTTCTCCAGCTCAGCAATCTCGAGGATCTCACTATTATGTATTGTGAGGAGCTGGATTTATGCAAAGACGAAAGCGGCAACAACAACAACCTCATCTTGGATTTCCATGGAGGACTCCATCACAGTCTCCACTCCGTGGATCTCTTTGGACTTCCCAAACTAGCATCTCTCCCACAGTGGCTTCTCCAGCTCAGCAATCTCGAGCGTCTCAGAATTGAGGATTGCGACAATTTGAAGGAATTACCAGAGCAGATCGTGGCTCTTGAATCACTTCAGAAGCTTCAAATCATCAAGTGCCCCTCGTTGACGTCATTACCCGAAGGAATCCGAAGGCTTGCGTCCCTTACTCACCTAAGAATCTGCGGTTGCCCAGAATTGGAGAGGAGGTGCACGAGAGATGTAGGCGAGGACTGGGACAAGATCGCTCATATCCCCCACATAACTCACGAGGAATTTTCTTCTTTCTGAAGGTATGCGAGGACCTTTTTACCCAGATTTTTTACATGAAGAATAATTCTCGAATTGTGTGTTTCGATTACTTGATTTGATTCTGGGGGGACATGGACAGATCGCTGGCACAAGATTTGCTCATTTCCCGCACATATCTCACGATCCCTAATATTCTCTCTAAAGGTACGTGGGACCTTTTTTCATGAACAATTTCTCGATTCGGGGACATGGGACAGATCGCTGAAAGGTTTGGACATGTCCTTGAATGCAGGTATTTACAGGGTGTGGGAACATTGCTTTATCCCCATCCGTGCGAGAAAAACGAAGAAAAATTCATACTCCTCATCCAACTCCGAGCTCGTTAAATCTGGCTCGTGACTCGTGTTGTAGATATAGCGTTGCAATCTCATTATTTGATTCCACAAGGAGTGAATTGCCTGCACAGTCCAATGATTCTGGAAAACTCTCGTAGATGGAGTGATGAGATGTTCCTCTCAAGAATGGTTTCTGGTTTACTTCCCTTAAAAATAACTTTTATGTCAATGTGTTCCCATAGAATCGGAGCTTCTGGCATAGATCTGCGCAGCAAATCAAGGGTATGAATGGCGACAATGAAATATGTAGCGTTTTTCTTTTCACATGATACATGCTACTGATTTATTAATTCCTGAAATCAAGCGATCCCTAGACCTGTTGAGCACCCATATGAACTTCCATAGTGGAATTACTATGGATCAAGTACTAAAGTGATCTTATTTTTAGCATTTGACAGCAACACTGTGTAAACTAAAAGCTGCAAATGGTTTTGTATTACAGTAGAGTTTCTAAAGTCTCTCTATGAAGAATTTGAAAGGAAATGCAATGGTGGGGAGAGAGAGAGAGAGAGAGAGAGGGAAATGCACATTCTTGGTTTGCTGTTCAGCCATTCTGCAGAGGTTCTCAGGTAAGTCCATTGCCAATTTTGAGCACCATCTTAAGCAATTGAGTAAATGTTTGACATTAAAAGAGGTCTTATGACAGTTGGACTCGGAGTCTATCTATGTCTCTACATTTTGATCACTGTGAGGTTGTCCTGCTCATTTTGTTTGGTTGACAAATGACATATTCTTCGTCTCTTTGTGACAACGATGTTTATAAAAGAAATGCGTTTGTGTGAGGCAGGATTAATGAGCGAAGCAGTAGTCTTTCTTGTTTTTTTCTTTTGATAACTATCTTACCAATTTTAAGTATATGTTATGGACCTCATGTAGACTCGATTTCTCTTGTATCCACTCTTGTCTCAGATCCAATTTTGATGACAAATGACTTGTTTTGTTGCTCTGAATTTGTATCTTAGTTGTGAATGTTTGGTTTTCCTTATTTGCCGTCGTGCAAACTTATCTTCACTCAATTTCCTGATACCGTGACTTTGCATTTCCAGATTTCTTCCAGGTTCCTTAAACAAAACAAGAGAACTGTAGCTCTAGTAGGGAATGAGACAATGAAGGCCAGCACCAATGTTAGGCATATTGTTATCCCTTGTACAAGCTCGGCTACATCTCAGGTTATCCCAGACATAATACGCTGTTACGGCAGGTTAATTGTTTCCATTTCCATTTCTTTAATGCTGTGCTCTTTTGTTGGTCATGAGATATACTGCAGAGTCTTTAAACTTTCTTCTCTGGTTGGATTTTCTTTAGTGGAGGCCGTACCATAATTTTTACTGAGACAAAGGAATGTGCTTCTCAACTTTCGGGATTGTTGCCCGGAGCTCGGCCATTGCATGGGGACATACAGCAAGCCCAACGAGAGGTAAATGATGAATATGCAGAAACCCAACGAGGGGTAAATGATGAATATGCAGAATCTTTATAGGTATTATTTCATGTAAGAGTGTTAATGTCGTAACACACTGGAGAGGAGATGAAGAAAGAAAAGAAAGCATGCTTTGTTATACTAAATTACATGACTAGGAATGTTGGTTTACCTGCTTTCCAGTTGTCAACCACAGATAGTGGGTGACAATGTTGTGCGAGTTCCTTACTATGTTTACAAGTCAACCCACTTAATTTGCCTAGTAGTTCATTTCCTTGGAGAGTGCTGATTTAATGACGTGTGGTAGTTGCGCAAGGTATAAATGATACGGGATATAAATGTTACATCCAGAGGCAAAGAGATTGATCTGTAGCAAAAAATTCCCTTTCATTATAAAATATTTTCAGTGAATAAAGGTGGCTGATTCTTTTAGTGGGGTACCTACCCTCTTATTCTCAAGTGATGAATACACAGGTACAAGCTTCAATAGAATGAATTATTAGTATTTGTTTTTGGATCTGATTCATTGGTAGGTCCAGCATCATGACTGTGGAAACAATATTCTTTTGTTAATTTACAGGGGCTATCTGTTTGAGTGATGCGTTCCTTGTATGTCACTTATTCTCTGGCTTTGTGTATGCGAGTATTTCTAGAAATTAACTTTCACAATCTAGGGCATGTTTGGTTACACATAAGCAAAAGCCAAGAGTACTTCCCGCCAAAATTTAAAATATTATTTTAATATGATAAAAACTATGAAAAATCATATCTGAATTTAAGTGTCAATACTTGAGTGTAGTGATAATTTCAAGACTTTAAGATTTTAAAAATGTGTGTGCAAGCCACAAGATATATATTAAGAAAAAACAAAATGTAAAAGTCAATCCGGCCACTCGGAATGGCGACCAATGACCATCTATATTAAAACGGTTGAAACCTTTTTTGCCTTTTAATTGACAAATGACATGCTTTTCCTTGCTTAAACTTTGCCTCTTGAGTGCTGGTTACACTTGCTGGTTTCAGGTCTGGCAAGTTTATGACATTAGTGGTCACGAATGTGGCAGCACGAGGATTGGACATCAATGATGTCCAGTTAATTATCCAGGTATGCTGTATATGGTATGTTTTGATTTGCTGTTTTTCTAAATGCAGTCGTGCTGATAGTTGGCCTTTTGTTTTTTGAGTGCAAGCCTCCTCGGGACGTTGAAGCCTATATTCACAGATCTGGATGCACAGGGAGAGCTGGTAATTGTTCAACTTGAAACCTGCATTTTCCATAGTGTCATTATTTCTGCAGCTCGCCAGATGCTGAGGGCACTAATGTTTTCTAGGCAATACTGGAGTAGTTGTCATGCTGTACGATCCAAGAAGGGCAAACGTATCTAGGATCGAAAAAGAGTCTGGTGTAAATTTGAACACATGGCTGCTCTGCAGCCAAGTAATGCTGCTCAAGCTGCTGGCATCGAAGCTGCTGAATCAATAACACAAATTTCTGATAGGTACAGTCATTCTTTTGCTGAGTAGCTGAATCATTGCCTATAACAACGAGATGCTGATATTCTCCAAAATGCAGTGTTATTCCGGCATTTAAGTCTGATGCCGAGCAACTACTGAACACGTCTGGCATGCCAGCAGTAGAATTACTTGCAAAGGCTCTTGCTAAGGCTCCTGTAAGTTTATTTTTCACTCACGTCTTGTTACTTTAACAAAGCTGATTGCTTATTTTTTTTCTTTAATCGCACTTCGTTGACATGCATCTCTTTTCCTTCTTTCTTTGGTTATTTAACAAATATAATTTGTACACTTCCTTTTCAGGATTATAGTGAAATAAAGAGCAGATCACTGCTCTCGTCATGAGAACCATGTAACCTTACTTCTCGAGACTGGAAGGCCCATTTATACACCTTCGTAAGTATTCAAGATCTCTGTCAGCAAAAAGTTGTGTTGCTTTGCAGTACTGCTTTGTAGATATTGCGTGGATGTGAGGGCAGGCCCCCTTCTAGCTTTGGTATTATATTCGATTCGCACCTGATCTGACTCTGGGCTTATATATCACTTCGATTTTTAGGTATGCTTTTGCTGTCCTGAGGAGATTCTTGCCTGAAGAAAAAGTAGAGTCCGTGAAGGATCTTACTCTCACAGCTGATGGAAATGGCGTTGTATTTGATGTGGCAGCTGAAGATCTGGATACTTTCCTTGCCGGTACTTAAACCACAGAACTCATCAGGGCTCCAATGTCAATAAGTGATGCTGCACCTTACGCACACTTTTCGTAGATTTTTCTCTTATTATAGCAGAGTATGCTGTGAGTCCATCAGCCTAGTGTAGCGCTTCAATTAAATTCTCGTTATATGGGCAATGATTGATTTTGGTATTTATTTCCCTCCTCTGGGTTGCAGGTCAGGAGAATGCAGCAAATGTAAGCTTAGAGGTGGTAACAACATTGCCGCGTCTCTGTATATTCCTAGCGACTATATATTGCACTTGGATGGAGCGCAACCATAGGCGGTTTCAAAACAATCCAACTGACATTCAGATTATTTTGGCGAAGATGCGGAAAAATGTAAGAGGTAGAGCTTCGCTATACAAAAAAATCAAAATCGCAAGCTAACTTTGTTTTAGCTACTTTATGGAGACTTCCTACCTCCATATTCTCGAATTATTAGTACTAGTTGTAATGCCGGGGAATGCCCCTAAGCTGCTGTACATCATCTGTTATATACTACTTACATTTTACACCAAAAAAAACATTGCTGCGTCTCCATGAGAGAGACCAGTCAAGAGGGGGAAGATTTGGCGGTGGGGCTGGTCGTGGCGGCTTTGGTGGTAGGGGCGGTGGTTTTTCTGGGGGTAGAGGTGGTAGGGGTGGTAGTTTCTCTGGCCAAAGGAGTGGCCCGTTTTCCCGTGGCTTCAGTGGTGGGAGAGGTCGCAGCAACAATAGAAGGTGATAAAGTAATCTGCAGCCAGTTCCTTGGAGTCGGAGCTTCCCGAAAAAAAGGCATCAACTTATGTCGCATTATGCGAGATAATATTTTCTCATGTCGTTGCAGGAATTTTGGCCGATTTTATGATTTTAGGAACGTAGCCTCGAGTGTTTGTAATGACCCACTGTAGGATAAGTATCTGGTACCGTGGTCCTATATTATCCTAATATATTTGGTATATTTTCTCAGTCAACTTAGTTTTCTATTTTCCTAATTTTTTGTGGGGCGTTTTAGTGATGTCTCCACCTCGCTATTTTTTGCTTTTGTTGCAGCCGTGAGTTGTACGCTGGAGTACATATTCTTAATCAGTTCTATCGAAGAGTTGTTTCCTACTTTTGCGCTTTTCAATGGGGGAACTGCAATGATGCTCAGCCAGACTACATTTTCGATCTTATACCATGTAATTCGATTTACCCATATAGTTCCAAGGTTTGAGTTCGAAAAGATAAATCTCACGTAGGTAAAATTAATCCGTTATAGTTTTTGAATGAACGTATGGTTTAGCTTTCTCAAGGGGCTTTCTGCCTTTTAAAGCTCCTTGAAGAACCATTAGAAGTGTTTGGCAAGCCTTCTCAAGGGGCTTTCATCCAATTGCTGGCCTGGCGACAACTGAACGCCCAATGCAGGTCTCTACTGGCATTGAGCTTTTAGTATTTGGCCGAATGTAGAAACTAGTTTTTTCTTCCCAAATTACCCTCACTAATTCTGTAATTTTTCGGTTTGCCCCTAGTTGTGATTGTTCATCTTCTTTGTGCGAGGGTGGCCAACAAGGGCCGACGAGGTTAGATTGGGCCAACAAAGGGTCGACGAGGGGCCGATGAGGTTGTGGGACCCCGGCGACGATCGCCTAGGGTTGCGTGAACCTTGCCAGGGGTCGCACGACCTCGGGCGACGGTCGCTGGCGCTAGATCTGGCTTGCCGGGGGCCTTAGCTCTTCGCCGGAGTTGGCCAAAAAAAAGAAAACTCAAACCCAAAAGCCCTATGCAAAAAAAAATTGTTTTACAAAGAATTTTTTAGCAAACGTAATTTGCATTTCTCCAAAGGACTTTAGGCCAAAGGCATTTGCATTTCTTCAAGAACCATTTGCAAAACCGAACCAAACACACCCTTAGGAGGACAAACTCGATTCCATGGTCGTGTAACCGTGCTCTCTTCATGCATTTCGTTTTAAATATAATGTTCAAATTTGGTTATATTTCTTGAAAATGAAATACTTAGATGGGAAACCTTAAGGATCAAAACCGCTTGCTGTCCAATTGAAATGAGATATCAATTTCATTTAACCAAATTTGCGATTTATATATCAGACCGAGTCCAGTCCACGAGAACGGGTCTTCCCTCCCCCAGCTCGTCACTGATCAGAACGGTCGATCTTGCAATCGCAGGTTAATATTGAGCACCATCTTAGGCAATTGAGTAAATGTTTGACATTAAAAGAGGTCTTATGACAGTTGGACTAAGAGTCTAATCTATGATTTCTCCATTTTGATCACCACAAGGTTGTCCTGCTCATTTTGTTTGGTTGACAATCGACATGTTCTTCATCTCTTTGTGACAATAATGTCTGCAAAAGAAATGCATTTGTGTGAGGCAAAATGAATGAATGAAGCAGTAGTCTTTGTCGTGTTTTTTCCTTTTGATCACTCAATCAATCACTACCAATTTTAAGTATATGTTGTGGACCTCGTAGGGAATCGATTTCTCTTGTATCCGCTCGTCTCAGATTTTTTTTGTTCTATTACTTCAATGGGCCATACTTATTATTACTGTGTTCGGTAATCATCCTCTGCCATGGCGATTTCTGATGGATATTTTCGCCAAAGCGGTTGGCAAGAGTAATTTGCAATTATGCCAAGTTTGTGAAAGAAGAAAGTACTTCAATGTGATTGCCTTACGATTGCGAGAGGAAAAGATTAGGTGCACTATCATGATTCACGAGTTGATCATTCATTAGATCTGATAACATATCCGAATAACATGTTTGTTGATTGATCCTTGGTAAGTTTAACTTCACTATCTTTTGAACAATTGCACTCGCAGTTTTTCAATTTTCGAAGTGTATCAAAAAGCAATTTTCTGTTTTCTGGTGCTGGCACTTGCTAAAAGACCCTTTCTTTGAAGCACCCGGTCCAATCATTTAACTAGACTCTTATGCATGCTAGAAGGCCAAATCAGACAAATAGAGCTCGGCCTCTGAACTATTTTCCGTGAGATTAAGCTCGCAGGTGTTTTGTTTTCAGTTGACATGTATATTACTCACCTTGCCTTGTTTTCCAGACTAGGCAGAAATGTTGCAGATTTTGGCACCTACACAATGCTAGATGAGGATCACCAAAAACTCGGTGACTGCCAGTGCCATGACAGCAAAAACATGGAGTTCTCTCTTGCTAAAACAGAAAAAGAGTGCGAGCACCAAGAGCTTTTCTAAATTTAGGGTGTATGCTTTGAAGTTTGAGAACATCACTATTAATAGGCTCGAGAGTCATCTCAACTTGGACGTGACGCCCTACACCGATAAGATAATTGCATATTACATTGGTATGTTTTAGTGCCTGAAACCTTTAAGTCCAGTGTACAAAAAGATGAATAATCGTAAAGGTACTATATCGAATTTAATAAAAAAACAAGGCTCGGAAGATACGGACTCAATAAAGTGATCAAATGTAAACAAATTATGCCGGAATCTAATTGACGACACAGCATGAGAACACAAAGGTACTATGTCGAAATTTAAATGACGACACAGTACCTGGAATAGAGATTGCACACCGGAATTTAATCAATGATGATAATCGAAAAGATACAACTAGGAAAATAAAGTGCAGTGCAAGAAAGTAAAATACTTAAAAAATAGTAAATTTGTTTGATTTGTTGGGGGGCTTCTAGTAGGCGACTGATGGTATTTATAATGATACAATGGTAACTACTTTCTAGCAAATTCGAGCAGTTGTATTTCCCCGAAAGACTTCCATCAATTGCTTCCATATTCCTCCATCTTCGAAAATTTCATGGGGGCTTCTACTAGGCTGTGACATCCCCAATTTGGACCCAGATGACCAAAGGTAAATGGTAATGGAATTGGCGAGCGGTCTGATCCGAGGGTCGATAATGGAATGAATAGTATAGTCGGAATGAATGTACTGAGGGTTAGTATGGTTCGATCGAAAGATTGTCTATAGATTGGCCAAGGTATCAATAATGGAATGACTCCCCAATCACGAAAGTCGATTAGAATGATTTGATCATGGGTCGACCTTTCGACCATAAGGGCCGTTAGTGGGACAATCAAGGTCGAACGACCATGGCTCGGTGCCGTGCGGCCATGTCGGTCCTAGGTGATTTCGCTCGGCCATGCATGGTTGCGGACGACCAAAGATTGATCCCAAAGGACTTAATTCCGTGCGACTACATGACAACCGAGGATCGACCATGGGTCGTTGATGCTTGAATGTGGACTGGTTGCGAACCGACCATGGATTGTTGCGTTGAGTTGGGGTAGGCCATGGACAAGCCATGTGCCAGACCAAGAGCCTTGTGGCTTGGTCGCGGACTAGGTTTTGTCTTGACCAGCTCCAGGGGCCACAGTCTTATGCTCGATCATGGACCAGCTCTTGTGCTTGTCGGCCTAGGCCACGGACTAGCCCCGTGCTTGACCATGTGCCAATCATTGTGCGACCCTTGTGCCAAGCTTTGTGCCCATCGAGATCCGGCTCGACTTAGTTTTGTGCCCAACAAACTTGGCCACGAGCCATGCATTGTACCCATCCGTGAGCCAATGCATGTGTTCGGTCCATGAACTGGTCTCTCGTTCGTGTGGCCCAGCATTGCGCTCAGCATACAGCTCGTGCGGCCCGGCACCGCGCCCGTACACGTAGCTCCATGCCTAGCCATGTGCCCGGCCCTGTGCCCGTGTGGTCCTGCTATGTGTCAGGCCCTGCGCCCCGTCAGACCCGACCGAACAAGCCATGCACCTGGTCAGTCCGACTGGCCTGAACTTGCACCGTTTAACTTGGACTTTAGCTTGGTCATGTTTGGTCATATTTGGACATATCCCTACACCAAACCTCGATTCGAATAGGTTGGTCGATCGTTTTAAATCCGTAAATTCCCCCTTACTTAGTTCATCTTTGCTAGTGTCGTAATGAATTTTTGGAGGTCCTACTTAATGAAGAAGTGAACCATAAGTTCATTGTCCTTAGTGAATTATTGAGTGTTCTTGAAAGGCAAGAACAGCCTTACACGACCAAGCTTGGGAGAACAAGAAACAACAAAAGAAGACCAAGTCAAACTTAGGTCGATAATTGGGGCAATCATTAGAGAAGATCTTATCTTTTAAGATACCTAATAATTGAGTATTCTTGAGGTGTTCCAGAGAGAGTCACACGCCCAAGGAGCTTGGAGAACAAGAAAATGGAGATCAAGTCAAGGGAATTATTTGAGGAACCATCATTAGAAGCTCGTGTGTCCTCTT